GGTGCAAAAGAAAGTCGTTTTGGGCTTTCATCCAAAACTCAAACGGAACACACAGGCACTCAATTATTTTTAGGTTTCAAACTGTTCAGGAAACAACGCTTCAGTTTTCCTTAGCCTTGATCATTCAGGTTTTGTCCAGGTTCATAAGGAAATGTTTTGAAACATCACAAGAAAGTCCGAGAGGGGGGAGAGGGCGCCGAGAAGAAGGAGTTGGGGAGGTACCTTTTCTTTCTGATGGCTAGCAGGAAGGATGGAAGATCTTGGAACCGAGCAGGGTCTTGCCATATTTCTGGCCCCATCATAAAGCCTGAGGTGGTTTGGCTAAACATCAGACTGCAGGGGAGTTTCTTTGAATCAAGCTTTACTGCACAGGGAACGTATCAGAGAGTTTCCATTTTGATGAATTTCAAGAGTGCGATCTTTTCTTCTTTTTGACTAGAGAGTTCTAGCATTTTGCTAGAAAGGCAGGATGGAAAAAGTAGGAGCAGTGACTGGAGGTGGAAAACCTGGGTTCCTGTGTGGGCAAGTCCCTGAAGGGCCCTGTGTTTCTCTTACAGAGTGGGGTAGTCTGGGCATGTGCCTCATAAACCGGGTGTGGCAGCCACACCCGAAGTAGCAGCCTTCTTATTACGTATCTTGTTACTGGGAAGACCATGTCAGGAACCAGTCAGGTATAATTTAATAACCTGGAATTCCTTACTGATGCTTCATAAAGAGAAACGCTTTATAGTGAGAATGGGAACTGGGCCTTCTCCCTTTTTAGGCACAACGTTAGTTAAATGAATTTGATGGGCGAGCACAATCCCTACTTTGATCTTTGAAATGGGAACTTGTTACTATAATGGACATAAAAGTTAAAAATGTATTGTTTGTTACTTTAAAAAAAGTTTTTCAATACAGTATTTTATCACACTTACAAAACAGAAATTAAGAGAAAGCTTTAAGAAAAGAATATGCAGTTCAGTATGACTTTTTCATTTCTGAAATGTTTTTATTATGGAAATTTCAAAGATATACACAAAAGTAGAGAAAATAGTGAACCGAGCTCCTGCTGTGGATGGAATGTTTTCGGAGCCGGGATTCATTTGTTGAAACTAATCCCCAGCGTGATGGGATTTGGAGGTGGGGCCTTTGGGAGGTGATTATGTCCCGTGGGTGGAGCCTCATGATGTGATTAGTGCCCTAAGCGGAGAGACAGGAGAGCTTGCTTCCTCTCTCTCTACCACGTGAGGACACAGCGACAAGAGAAGATGGTGGGTATACGCAAACGAGGAAGAGGGCTCTCCCCAAACACCCCATCTGTCAGCACCTTGATCTTGGACTTTGCAGCCTCCAGACTGTGAGAAATAAATGTTTGTTGTTCAAGCCCCCCAGTCCATGGCAGTTTGTGATAACAGCTCGAACTAAGACAACCCCATGTATCCGTTACCCGTTTCAACAGTTAATATCTCTTGGCCAGTCTGTTTCCTCTATTCTCTCTCATACCTGTTCCTCCATAGTATTTTGAAGCAAGTCCAAGACACTGTATAATTTTATCCATAAATATTTCAATATATATCTATAAAAGATAAGGAATCTTTTCCCCCAATATTTTATTAGGAAAAATTTCAAGCAGAGGATAAAGTTGAAATCGTATCTCAACACTTTAGATTCTACTGTTGACATTTTACTATATGTGCCTTGTCACATATCTGTCCATCTCTCCCACTATCCATCCATCAAGCCATCTTGGTTTGGTTTTGATGCATTTCTTCTTTTTTTTTTGGTGAGAAAGACTGACCCCTGCGCTAACATCTGTTGCCAATCTTCCTCTTTTTGCTTGAGGAATTGACCCTGAGCTAAGATCTGTGCTCGTCTTCCTCTATTTTGTATGTGGGATGCTGCTGCAGCACGGCTTGATAAGCAGCGTGTAGGTCCACACCTGGGATCCGAACCTGTGAACCCCAGGCTGCCTGCCAAAGCAGAGCACTGGAACTTAACTTCTATGCCACCGGCCAGCCCTGGCTTTGATGCATTTCAAAGTAACTTGCAGACATCTGTATACTTCCCCTTAAATACTTCAATATGCATAACATTAGCTAGAGTTCAGTATTTGTTTATAATTTTTTACCCATTGGATACAACATTTTCATCAATGAAATATATATATCCGAAGTTCACATTTGCTGTATTTTGGCAAATGTAACCCAACCCATCCATCAAGATACAGAAAATTATTATCACTCCATAAATTTCTCTCATGCCCCTTCCTGGTCAATCCCTACCAACACCCCTCCCCCATCTCTGATAATTTTCCACCATAGATTACTTAAAACAGTATTTTTGAGGATTCAGTTTGTCTGTCGTAATTGAAAACTAACACAATATAAACTTTCTCAGGAAAGATTGATTTGGCTTTTCCCCCCCAAATATCTTCAGTTTTTAAAGCATGCATCCCAGGTTTTGGTTAGGGAGCTTTATATTTTCAGCCTCATTCCCCTGTGTGGTCTAAGATTTTGTCTGGGCAAAGGGCTCTATTACTAAAGGGAGTTGGAAAACCCCAGCACCAAGTTCATGTGCATTTGCCAATGTTTTGGCTCCAGGGTTCCCTGGGCAGTTGTCCACCGAGTAGTGCCCAGAGTTACCTTGGTCCCAGGAGCCGCCTGCCTGATCTTTCCCTTGCAGAGGAGTCCGAGGGCTTTGAAGCTCCTTTGGAAGCGTGGCCAGGAGGAATTCTGATCAAATGCTCTCATTCCCGTTTCCAGCCAATAAAACTCCAAAGAGAAATCCTCCCCCAAATAGCAATCGAAAAGATGTTTTACACACTGTCTTTCCTCAAAGTACCAGATTACTTTGTAATCCAGATGTCAGGGACATTCCCCATCCCCTGAAACTCAAATGAAATTGGATTGAATGCCAGCCCAAGTGCGGGAACCACCTCTGTCCCTGCCTACCTCTCTGGGCATCCTGGGGTGTGGCTTGTTTTCCTTGTCAGCTCTGGCCCTGCCTACCTCTCTGGGCATCCTGGGGTGTGGCTTGTTTTCCTTGTCAGCTCTGTCCCTGCCTACCTCTCTGGGCATCCTGGGGTGTGGCTTGTTTTCCTTGTCATCTCTGGCCTACTGAACTCTTCTGTGTCTGGATCACCTCACTCTCCAACGCGTGTTTTTTTGGGTCCCATACCAACCCTGAAATGACGTTTCAGCCCCTTTACTTAGAGTTCTACCAAAACCTACTTCCACAAGAATTTTTGTGTGTATAGCAGGCATTTCTAAAAGTTTAGAAATCTGGAGGAGGTTTACATTAAAGAAATGCAAACATCTTTAAAAATTTGAATTCTAGAGATTTCTATTGCTAAAGTACCTTTTATCTACTTGCTCCTATTGCTCAGCTGTGCACTCGCTTCTCTCCCCTCTTCCTAAAACTCCTATTTGTTTTTCACGCAGAACAGTTTTATTTTCTCCCTTTTTCCTTGCCTTCTTCCAGGCTGCCCTCACTCAGCAGGCTTCTCAAGACTATTTTCCTGGTTACTGCTTAATAAAAGTGTAGTGCCAGCATTAAGATTTTATATACATATATAATCTTGGCTTTAGCTTTAGGCGAGGCAATTAACCTTTCTGACTCTGTATTCTCATTTGCAAAATGGAAATGGAGACGATGCCAGCCTTGTGAGGATCAAATGGGATAATGTATGTGAAAGCATCTTGTAAACTAAAAAGTGTTTGTACAAACAACCTAAATGTGCATGGATGGAACAATAAATAAAGAAAATGTGGTGGATACATAAAACAGAATGTTACTCAGCCATAAGAGAGAAAAGGATTTTACCAATATCTTAAAATAGATGGCAGATGCTCAGTAGGTGTTTGCTGAGTCTGAATTATTACCTCTGCTCAATAGATTGATTGACAAGCAGCTACTGACTTACAAATCCATCCAGTAAATTTCTTGCTCAAATTTAATTGATATTCTCTATACAACTGAAGTAAGTTAAATTAGGAAGTTGTAGGAAATAATCTCGTTATTAAGATGGGTTCTAAGCAAAAGTTTGTGAAGACGATAATAATAACGATAGTGACCACTACTTTCCAACGTTTACTAACTTCCCAGGACTGGCTGATATTTTATACATATCACCTCATTTAATCCTCAACGTAATTCTGCAAAGTAGGTAAAATTATGCCTATTTTCTGGATAAAGAAACTGAAGTTCAGAGAGGTTAAACACTTTGCCCAATGCCATACAGTTAGTGGCAGAGCTGGAATTTGAACTAAGCTTTAGGTCTCAAACCCTGTGTCAACCATTTAGGGTGATGCAAGGCAATCCATGTTAGTGTTGACTCTTCTCCCCTCTCGGGCTCCCTGTGCTGTGTACCACTGATCTAGGGGGACAATGCCCCGACATATATTCTAGCTTCACTGCTGCACTCTTAATTCTTACTTTGTGGCTGCAATGGGCTTGCAGTTGCCACACCTGTCAGTGGTCTTCCCCCTAGTCCATTACACAGGGCCTGGCTCTTCATTTACTGCTTTGCCGTAGCCATCTTGAAATTCTTAGAAATGTTTTTACAAGGGGCCTTGCATTTTCGTTTTGCATTGTCCCTGGTCCTGCCTGAGGGTGGAGTGGGTAATGGGGCAGAACGACCTGGACATGTCTTGTCGAAACACAAATCATCCAGCACACAGAATCATTTTCTAATGCAGCCAGTTGATAAACCATGAACTAGAGGAGATTGCAGAATTCTCTTTCTTTGAAGAGTTTTAAAAATGGTATAAAGCTTTACTCTTCTGTGATGTGTAAATGTGTTGTTCTGCCTAATGGCAGGACGTGAGCATTCTTCTTCTTCTTCTTCTTTTTTTTTTGGCGAGGAAGATTGGGCCTGAGCTAACATCTGTGCCAGTCTTCCTCTCTTTTGTATGTGGGACGCTGCCACAGCATGGCTTGACGAGCAGTGTGTAGGTCCATGCCCAGGATCTGAACCCGCAACTCCTGAGCCACCAAAGTGGAGTGTTCAAACTTAACTACTACACCCCTGGGCTGGCCTCATGAGCACTATTCTTGAGGGACCTGCCTGCCTGTCTACAAATCCTTTGTGAGTTCAGAGAGCTTCAAGGAGGGTCAGGGTATCTGCGTGGCACTGGATTTTGTCTTTTCTAGTTGTTACATAAAAGTTTTGTGAAGAGACCATTTTTCCCTTTTTAAAGAATGCATTAAACTTCACACTAACTTGTTAGTGAGAGCCTGAAATGATCCCAGGAGACGCAGGAGAGTCTTCCTGCCCCAGCTCACCTTGCCTGTTTTTTCAGGGCTGCTGTAGACAGTTGTCCAGGAGAGGCTGAGGGAGTTCCTGGGGACGGGCTCACACTGCATATTTAAAAAGAAATTCACAATGAGGTCGATTCTGCCCTTCAAGAAGTGTCTGAGTGAGAGAAAAGAATCTGGTTTTCCAAGCATATTTGAAATGGTTGTTTGTTTGCAATGATTTGGAGAGATATAATACAGTCCTTCTAGAAACAGAAGTCCTAGTTGTTTCTGCAGATTGCATTTCAAGCAACCAATTCTGGGAGTCACGGGTGTGGGTCGTATGATGCTAACTTTAGTTCAGAGCTGGGGTGGATCAGTGGTTCAGTATATTGCCATTCATGATATTTTAGAAACTTTCCTCTCCCCGTTGAAAAGGATGGGGGATGCAGAAGAGTGAAGGGACTTTTGTAAGTGTGTGCTCACACTAGGCTGGGTCTTTTGGTGGCCAATGAAATAAGCATTTACTGAATTTCTTACCTTTACCGATACTTTCTTCCATGTTACATCGTTTGGTGCGTATTACATGTGCAGGTACTTCTTATTTTTCTATTAGTTGTTTTTTGGTGGGGATGATTGGTCGATGTTTTTATTTCCCCTCATCTAGGCAGATTTGAAGGACATACCATGATGGGAGAAAAATTACTAGACCGAGATTCACGCGAAGCAGCTACAGACAATTATAGAAATCACGTTAGGAAAAAAAATTCATCTTCGAGAAACTCCACCTTTTATCTGGGTGGAGAAACAATTAGAGAACAATGCGAGACAGTATATAATCAAGTGCTAAATTGTGTGGCACAGATAATGAGTGCTATAGGGATTCAGAGAAAGGAAGCGTAAGACGATGAAACAATTCACAGGGTTTTGTGCCGACAATCCCACTGCTGGGGAGAGATGTCTGCCTTTTCTGTGAGAGTTGATTGTGAGGCTCGTCTGGCCCACTCTGTGAATCTGTCGTTAATGGGCAAGATCAGGTCTTTTGTGTGTTCGATTGCATATCGGTTATGATGGAGCCTGCATGAATGGGGTGTGGAAACCGGTAACTTAGAGCGAGTCCTCCTGTCCTGCGAGGGGGCCGACAAGATGAAGCACCCGCTTTAGTCTCCCTGACAACAATTTCTGCCGAGTTGAAAGCCATTAAGGGGTGGATCTCTACAGTGATAGCCTACGTTTTCCAAGGGATAAATCTTTTTCTGCTACAGAAGTTGGCAGCTGAATTTCGGTTCCCCTTGCCCCCTCCTTCACACTTTTCACAGAGCAGCTCAAAGGCTAGCAGCAGCTGATGGGGATGGTAAATATTTCTCGTAGAGTGTAAGACGGTGGGGGGTAATCTCTCCCGATTTATAACAAGACATCACCTTCTCAGTGTGAAGGGTTAAAATCAGTCAGGCTGCGATGTTTGTGGGTCTCAGCTCTTCCCCAGGAAGTGCAATACCTAGACGGTTTGAGAGATCCTGACATACCTGAAGTTTTGACATACTTACAGCCTAAAAGAGAAATTCTCCACGAGGTAAATATGGACCGTTTTCTCTGACTGATGTGGGTGAGAACAAAAAGCTGCAGGGGAGGCGAACCAGCCTGAGCAATCAGTTTGAATCCATATTCAACTCAAGCTCCAGTCAAAGACTGTTGATGAATTAAGACCTGTTTAGCCTGTCTGCCAGCAGGATTGTTAAACTGTACCTTATTGCCTGTCATAGATACCAATTTGGTTGGATGTGTTTGTTAATCATGGTTGCAGTGGACATGACCTCAAAAGAGGTCCCCCCTTTAACTTTGGTTTTTGTTCTTTTCTTTACTAAGTGTGGGAACAGGAAGAAGCACACGGATGCCCAGGAGGCATTACTACAATCAGATTCTAATGTACTTAAAAAATACATATATATATTTTTTTTTGGTGAGGAAGATTGGCCCTGAGCTAACATCTGTTGCCAATCTTCCTCTTTTTGCTTGAGGAAGATTGTCAGTGAGCTGACATCTGTGCCAATGTTCCTCTATTTTATGTGGCAAGCTGCCACAGCATGCCTCGATGAGCAGTGCTAGGGTTGTGCCCAGGATCCGAACCTGTGAACCCTGGGCCGCTGAAGCAGAGCACATGAACTTAAGCACTATGCCACCAGGCTGGCCTCTAGAAAAAATTAAGTTCTTTATGTAAACGGTTATTTTCTACCTCAATGGGTAAAAAAATGTGATTGAAACAAGAATATTTCATGTTTACTGTCCACAAAACATTTCCGTTTTTATATCAGGACCCGAATTTCAATACGTCACTGAGTGGAATGGGGCTGTGAAAGAGCATCTTGCAACCAGGATCTTCCTGCCCCACCCCTTCGGGTAACCAAAGTGGCAACTGATAATAATAATGATAGCTAATATTTCTTGAGACCTTACCATGTTCAGCTACTACGGTTTCTCATAAACCTCACAAACATATGCTCCTCATTTTACAGATGCAGAAACAAGACACAAAGGATGGTAACTTCCCCCAATTAGAGTGGCTAGAGAGTAGCAGAGCGGGGCTCTTTCCCATGCGATTGAAAGCCAAATCCATGCCCTTGACCATCATGCTATTCCATACAACATGGTGTGGTTTGGCAGGTTTTGATGCAGTATGGAAAAGATCTCTTGTAAACATGAACACAGTTGAGAGAATGGACAACGGGCTCCGGAAATCCAAGGGCAATGGGGAGCTGCTTCTGTGAGAGTGATGCCAATTAAGCAATACTCTCTTTTTCTTGAGATGGATATACTAGGTTGCCTGCTTGCCTCCATAGTGAAGAATGCGTGGTCTGAGTTCTCCATCCCGAAGAATCTGAGGAGCTTATAGTTGGTTCAGATGGCAGTCCCCTAAAGTTTTGCACTCACCATAGGACTGAACTTGGATCAAGGGACCTCTCTATGAGTGAGAAAAGGCAAAGTTGGATATTTTTCCAAAGGAGTTGCTTAAATATAAGTGTAGGCTGGATAACTACTTCTAATCATTATTCAGGGCCAGTGAAGTCACTTGTTTGATCCTGTTTACACAGCCAAAGAAGGTTATTCACAGGTCAGCCAATCAAGGCCCACCACATGCTTGAACAACACTGTCATTATGATAAAAGTCATATTTGCCCGGTTATTATCTGACTTGCTAAATTTGCATTGGTTCTTCCCACATACGCTCAAAACATGTCATCTTCCCTGTAAACATGTGCAGCAACTTTTCCTGCTTTTCATACTTGCTAAGCAAAAATCATTAAGTATTGATTTTCCTTCAGTGAAGGTACCACAGAGACTTCCCTTAAGGATTCAAGTGAAAACAGTCAAAGTATTTCAATACGTCATATTTCTAGAGAGGTTACTACTAGTTTTTATTAGATTACACAGGTTGAATTCTCTTAAGCCTCTTTCTATTCTTCTTAGAGGACTAGATCTGTTTGGTGTGTACTTTCATGGCCTTTAAGGGACTTGGATGGCATGGCAGGAATGGATGTGAAACTCATTTCCAAAGAACTTATCTTAACACTTGTGTAATCTAGCTGCACCTTGGGAAGATTTACGGTCTAGGCAGTTTTGTAATAGCTGAAGTGAAAAACTAGTTTAGAAGAAAGCCAAAACTCCTTTACAAATGAAGTGGCCAATTAGCTGGGGTGAAAAGGAAAAGTTTTTCTAAGTGCTCATTTCACTAACTTATCATTTTCAAGTCATTATCAGGACCGCAGAACTGACTGCAGTCTGATTTTGATGAATGGGAGTCATCATTGCAATTCCTTGGTTTATGTGGGTTGTCCAGGACCCTTGAGGGTTTGTATAGTATCATTAGACCCAGCATCGGCTGGAACACTTCAAGACTAGCTCTAAATCCATCCCCTTATTTGAGGTGCCACTTGTCCTGAATGACAATGAGATGACTTTCCAGACTTGTTGGAACCATGCTGTCAATAGAAATGTCTCTAGCAGGAAAGACCATCTCATCAAGACTTAGTGTCGCCTCATTTGTAAAGGGATTTGCTGACCACCTTGGAAAAGACCTCTATCAGGCACTGCTCTTCTTTCAACAAAAGAGAGCTCTCCCTGGGGCATTTTCCAGCAACTGCCTTTTGCCTCCTTCATCCAAGACTTGTCAAGGAAGCTTATATTTAGGCAATAACTCACTCTAGTCTCACTTTGTTTTCTTGTCTCTAGGACTGAAGGGAGTAATCAGCTTGAATCTTGGAGAAATTCCCAGTTAACAGCAAAAAGCTATCAACCAATCCACACTTTTGGTGAAGTACAGGAAATGGAAAGAATGGTGGTTAACTTTCTTCCCTCATGTTTTGGAATAAACTACGCTCTTATTCACCTAATGTAGAATCAGATCTTGTGCCCCAAATCTGCACATTCACTTTTGAAGCCCTTCTCCTCCGCTCAGTATCCCTTCCCATTATGTTATTCTTCAGCGTCTAGAACTGAACCAAAACGTGAACCATTCAGTAAACAGTTATAGGACACTGATCCAGTGCAAGGCACTATGAGGATTAAAGAGGGCTGCAAATCCTTTTACGTACCTTCCATGGAGAAATGGGATCTTAGCTCCCATCCCTTAAACCTGGGCAGGCTTTGGGACTGCTTTGACCAATAGAATATGGCAGAAGCATTGCCGTGCCAGTGTCAGGGCCCAGACCTCAAGAAAGTGGCAACGTTCACTTCTTATCTCTTGGAACACCCTCCCTGGGAGCTCTGAGCTGCCATGTAAGAAGTCCTACTGCTCTAGCACTGCCCTTCTAGAAAGATTGCAAGTAGATGCTCTGGTTCACCGTTGCAGCTGAGTCCAGGTTCCAGATATGTGAGTGGAGCCATGTTGAAGACTTCAGACGAGTTCATTCAACAGCTGAATACATCACTATGTGGAGAGAAGGCTCGCCCAGCTGAGCCCGGCCCCAAATTCCAATCCACAAAATCATGAGATATAGTGATTGCTGTTTTAAGCCACCTAATAACCCAATGTTAGAACAAATATTTTGCTAAAATCTGAACTCTAATGCTGCTTTGAAAAATTGAAGTGGCAAATGAGCTAAGGTGGGTCAAGAGCTGGCACATAGTAAACCCTTCGCAAAAGGTAGTTTTTGTAAGTGTTACTGTAATATCCCAACTATTTTCCCTGTTCTTAGCTTTTGGCCCTTGGTTCCATCATCCACATCATTGCCAGAATCAACTTCCCAAAGCAGAGTCCTATGTTTCACACGGCAGATAGAGCTAGTTGTCCCTCCAAAGACAAAGCCTGTCTTCTTCCTCAGTAAGAGAACCTTTGAAGACTACTTGGGTATATGGAGGCACAGACTAAAGACTACATTTCCTAGACCCCTATGCAGCTGGGTCGGGCCACACAGCTAAATTTTGGCCAACGAGAGGTAAGCAGAAGTGGTTGTGTAACTTCCAGAAGTGTCTGTCAAGGGAGAGCCATGCTCCTCTCCTCCTTTGTGTTACCTAGAGTGTAAATATGTTGCCTGCAGCCCATCTGCCATCTTAGACAAGGCTAGCAATGGTCACATTCTTAGTGTAGCAGGGGATAAAGCTGGAAGGAGTGTGGAATCCTGACTCATCTGTGCAACTGCCTTAGCAGCTCTGGATTTTTTACATGAGAGAAAAAAGACTTACAGATTTAAGCTCCTCTTTTTTTTTGGTCAAATGTAGCTTTACCTAATTTTTACTAAAACATCTGCTACATATTAGGAGCAGACTATTAAAATGAATAGAATGAGGCTCCTGCTCTTCTGGAGTTCAGTCTTTGTATCTTGGGAAGACACAAATGAATAGAATAATAAAAGGAACAAATGAATGGAACAAATATTATTTCTCATTTTCTGTGTACCAGGGACATCCTTTCATTCATCGTCTCACCTTGTCTTCACAATGATCCTGTGAAATAATGATTGTTGAATCCATTTTAGAGAAGAGGAAAAAGAGTCAGAAAGTTTAGGTCTTTTGCTGAGGGTCATGCTAGTAAGAGGTGAACCCCAAATCTACACCTTTCTCTTCTGGCTCCTGTCCTTCACTATTTCTGCCACATCATGTTGCAATAAGGAGGACATTATTGAGGCTCAATCATTGAGATGAGTTTTACACTGGACTTTGAAAAATTGGTAGATATTTGAAAGACACAGATGGGGGAAGAGAATTCCAGAAGGAAGGGACAGCACAGGCAGAAGTGTTACGGCACAGACATGGCTTGTTGGGGACATGGCAAGTCTTATGGGGCTGCTGGAAAACTGGGTGGGGTCTGATTATCAAGGACTCTGAACTTGGACTTTCTCTGCCTTTGTACCATGTTTTCCTACTTTCTCATATTGTTGCATGCTCTTCCCTCTGTGAACTTGGTTTTTCTCCAATGTAAAGTGAAGGTTGTGTAACTCTCTTTATCAGTCAGGGCACTTCTTGCTAGCTCCCATAACAAACACACCCCAAATCCTGATTGCTTGACGCGATAAAGGTTTATTTCCTGCTCTTGCAAAGCCTGAAGCACTTGTTGGGGAAGGAAGGGTGTGTGTGTAGTGAGGAGCGGAATTCTACTATCAGCAGTGACTCAGGTTTCCTTGAGTACATTTCCTTTGTGGGGTCAAAATATTCTGAGGCCTCCCTGGAGTTCTCTGCTGGATGCTTTGCATTCAGCAGGCTGGTGAGTAATGAAAAAGTGTGGAGGATTACACGGCATTTGGTGACTAGGCCTGAAAGTGTCATCCTTCACTTCTGTCCACAGCCCATTGACCAGTCCAAGAAACACGGTTCCAACCCAACTGCAAGGGCAAAAAAGGGATTGGGGGCCTCTCGCCAGTCTCAGCCATGCTGCTCAAACTTCTTCGTGGAGGCGAGGTCAGTGTTTATTGAAATATGTATGAAAGTACTCTACAAAGCTCTTGGGGTATAATTTACATCCAGGTTTATATTCCTTCAAGTTCACATGTACGAATCCTACCCATTTTTCAAATGTCATCTTCTCCATGAAGCCATCTTGAATTTGAAGGAGAGCAGAATATGCCATCCCAAAATAGGCCACTTCGCATATTGATGATTTTGAATTAAAGGTACTTGAGAAAAAGCTGGTGCCAGAAGGACTCTCTGAACCTTCTTTGTCCCCCAGAAAAGATGAATCTTCCACATGAAAGTTACCTACTCTGTACCGGGAGGGTAGAAGGCGTCCTTATCACAAGAAATAGGAAATTTAGGAGTGAGAAGCCTGTATAAACAAACCTTCTTATGTCTTCACTAATTTACTACCTAAAGCCCAAATCCCTTCGTCTTGTCAATTCTTTAAGAATTTACTGTTTCTTTGTCCAAAAGCTATGAAAGTTTCCTGCTTTGGTCACTTTTTTGAATCTTTTACTTTTATGGGGCCCCCGTTTGTTCGAAATTAAACTTGTTTTTCTCCTGTTAATCCATCTTCTGTTAATTTAATTATCAGGCCCATCAAAGAACCTCAACGGGAAGAAGGGAAAATTTTTCCACCCTACAACTTCCATCCTCTTTCTCTCTTCCCACACCTGACTAGTTGAAGGCTATCTCTGTCTTCTAACACTTCCCTGCCCTATTTGAATCTTTCTAATTTGCTTTATATATCTTTTATCTCTAAAGAGTCTGGCACAGTGTCTTGCAAGTTTTGAATAAATCGTTGATATATTGGAATAAAAAGAATACTAAAGAGGATTCAACCTCTAGGGTAACATGCTTGAGTCTCTCATCACTTTTTTCCCCCAATTTGCTTTGTAATGTGGACATAATATTGAACCAAGCATAAAAATGGAAGCCAAAACTATAAAACTTGACCATAAATATTGCTTGGGTTAGCATGTAGCTAGCTAAGAGAGGTAGTAGGGATCGTAAGGCGTTGATGCCCACAGTCAACACTGGACAATCTCCTCTCATTTGCCTTCATCTTCCTAATGATACCACTCCTCTGCTGCTTGAGGACCGAGGAGGAAGATCTGAGTTGCTTACAGTAAGGACATTAGGGAGCTTTGGAAGTAAGTGGCAGTTGGGGTTTGCTTGCCCACCTTGAGCTCCCAAGGTGGTAAGGAGATGATGCTGTCAGACGCTTTTCCTTTCTGTCTACCACTCTGTTGATGTCTAATTACGGTGGTTTATGAATGTTCATGGTGAGAACATTTACTTCCTACTTATACAGAGACAAAGTTGCGTATTTTTCTGGTCTTAAGAAATTCAACATAGTTTCTGGTGTGCCCATATTATTCTATTTCCATGTGGAAGACAAATTAAGTGGGTAATTTTTCCCTTTCCAAAAGAATTTTTTACTTTACCAAATGATTTATGAGATATTTCCTTAAATAACAAGATCCTCTATTGTAGCTAGAGTCTGATTCTCTTTCCAAAAATTCAGTCAACATACAGCATTTTAAGAACTCTTGTCTAATGTAAACTCTTGTACTTACTTGGTGGGGTACTGGTTGGGCTCTGGAAGGTAGCAAGTCTGGTTTCTAGTCCATCTCTAATTCTTCCTGGTTTTAAATAAAATCATTGGCCCCACTTACTTTTTTCAATTTTATTTTCCCATTAGGAAACAACATGGCTCGGATGGATGTGCTGGAGGAAATGCACCAGGAAATCCCGAGCAGGGTGCAATCAGTCAGCATTAATGCCCACAAGTATCAAAGCTACTTGAAGAAATACAGCTACTTATGGATGGGCGATAAAATTGAATTCATGAAGCAGCTCCTTCTCCATGGGCAATTTCTTGGTGCTGAAGAACTAGAATTGCATGCAGACTAAGAGTGTCAGAACTCCACACTGCTGTCAGCACACTTTGAAGAACCGGCATTGAATTTTAGCCGAGTCTAGCATTATCTTTTTCAATTCCGAGGACAGCTATTAAATCATAAAATATTTTGTGATATAAAGCTCTTGCTTCTGAGAGATCTTTCCTTTCTTCCCTTTAAGATCAACATCTATGAAATATTATGTGAATGAGTTGACAGCTTTAAAAATCAGAGGATATTTAGTGGCTAGCTTCAAGTTGATAGTAAACCTTTTAAAAACCAATGATGAATGTTATAAAAAATTGGGTTTGATGTTTAAGAAGCATCTGCTTAACCATGTAACCTGCAGGGAAAGTAATTTGAATCTGGTTGATTGTGAAAGGAAATTAAAATAACACAAATCATTTGATGAAACCATCCTCATAGAATTCTAATTTAACTCAAATAATAAGTATTTTAATGGTTCTCCCGTGTGCTTATTTTTAGTCTCGTATTCTGTAAGTTACAAGAGAGTTGCTTTCATGCATGTGAAATGCAATTCTCTTCCTGTAAAAACTTGACACAATGCTTATCCATCTGATTTGATTGCATTTGTGTGTTCATTAATGTAATTGAAACATGTAGTTTCCCCCAAGTTTTCACAGGCTCATCCCTAATTAACTGTTGGCATTTCCTCACATTACATGTTAGTATAACTGAGTTCGGCCAATTTATTGGTGAAATAGGAAAAAGTTGAGCAGAGGAAGGGAAGCAAAGGTTCAGCTATTCAGTACTGATTGGGGGCCGAGGGAGAAGGCTATGGGCAGCCTTTGAAATCTCTACTATTTTAGCTGCTGAATTCAAGCTTCCAGAAGAGATTTATACAGAATCAAGTGATATGGACTCAAGAAACAGGGTTACCTCCCAGAGATCATAGATATGGCTCTTCACCAACTTGGCCCCAAACTGCAAATCAAAGGAGATTTTTGGTCTCCTAAGTCTAAGAATGTTTTGTGTATTTCCTGAGTATTTTTAAAGATCGGTAGTGGCGATGAAGAAGAAAGATCTATGAACTTGGAAGGAGAAAACAGAGGTTCTAATTCTTGCTTGGCCACTTCTGAGTGCTGTGATCTTACAGGAGTGAGTTAATCTGAGTATATTTCGTCACTGGGCTGTTGTAGGTGTTTAAATGTAAGAATCACGCAGTCAATCAGTAGATGCTTGTTGAAATACATGTCTTTTTGGAGGGGGCACACATCAAAGGTAGGAAATAAAATGCATAAGATGGTGGTCAATAAAGTAGACAAAGGAAATTTAAATAGAGATAGCTTTTCAAATCAAATCAAATATTTTAAATCCTATTTTTTGTCCTTTACAAATTAATGTGAGACAATCTGACTGAAAAGAATGAAAGAATGCCCACTCTTATTTTTGCTTCTTGCATATTCTCATTTCCCCACATGATAGAACTGGATTGGTAATATTAACAAACCAACGAGATAAATTCATAGCAATCAGGGAAATTTTCATTTTAAAAATGCCACTTTTTATTTTAATGACATTAAATGAAAAGAATTTCGTTGACCGATTTGCTAGGCACCCATTTTTGGTGATAGCTGTATTCCTTTTTATCTTCTATTGCTGTCCCAAGATATGCTTATATTCTTTTGGAAGCGGTCAACTTATACAACTAGTAAAACCTAAGATCTCTCAGCTGCCATCCATACAGAGGAAAGATCTATCAGGGCTGCTGAAAAGCAGGTGCAATCAGGGGAGAGACAGGGCACAGAGATTCTCAGGTCAAGGAGGAAATGATGCCACATGTCGGGACTGGGCCTGTTCAAGGAAAACCATCAACATCACAAGGACAGTTTCCTTGGTGAAAACTGCTTTCTCCTGAACAGTGAGTAACCACATCCTGATGCCTATCTGAAGTTGCTGAAAGTCTGTACTGGAATTAACAGATGTCTTTAGAGGAACCACATTCACCCAGGAGGGATCGCCACTACTTGTGAAATGGTAAGGCGAAAAAGTTGAGCTTTCTGTCACGTGGTATCACCCCTATCCTGGAAGCCTTCACTAGACTAACACCTTTTCCACACAGATAACTTATGGATAAAAAAAATGAAGTGTTGAATTCAGCTAAGTCATCTGTTTTGGGTCTACACAATACTAAATGATCTGTTTGTTTCGTATTTTACTGTTTTGGTATCTTACAGACATGGTATAAACTAGGTAATTCCTCACTACATGTGTAAGTAGATCACAAACAAGCCAATCTCTCCTTATGCTCAAGATCAATTAGAATATAATACTTCAAGGTGTTTTTTGAGACCTGCACCTGAACTGTGGCATAGAGCATTTGAAGGAAGTCCAGTGGGACGAGCGAAACACTTGGGGTTTGAGAAGGAGGTTTGGTAAAATTTGTAGGGGGAACTGTGGTATTTACACAAGACCTTCTAAAATAATTAAGAGCAGAACATCTGCTTCACATTGTTGGCCCCACTACCTACCATCATATTTTTCTCACTTCATTTGTCTCAAATAACAGTTCCATGTACATTACACTGAAGTAAATATCCTGGAGAAAAATGCCCAGAGGAAGGTAGAGGTTAATAGTAGACACAGAGTAATAAGCCAAGTTGCCAGAATATCATGGATCATTCAGGAATTCAAACTTGGTTCTTGAACCTGGAAATTGTTTGTAGGAGCTGCGTTTTTTTCTTCTTTCAATATATTTTATTTTATTTGCTAAGTTTTTTGGGCTCTATTCACAGAAGCAGAAGCAGTGGAATTACAGAACATTGAAGCTGGTAGTTGTCAATTATTGTTTCACGTGAGATGAGGCGTGTGAATGAGTTTGGATTACCAAGAAACGGGACTATAATGAAAACTTAGGGTGGGGAAAAAAGGACACGAAAATCATGGGCCCCTGAGTATCAGAAATTTTAACAAAGCTAATGTGGGACACTGAGGGAAGCATGGAAAAGAAAGAGATTAAAAAGGCTGGTATAAAAATGAAAAATAAGACATCCTATTCAGAAAGAAGCTGGGCTGATTGTTTCAAGGAATTCCAACGTGGAAACTTGGGTGGGAGAAGACTCTGCAAGAGCCCCATGGAAGGAAAATGGAGCGCACTTATCTTCAGCTACAGATCTCAATCTCTCTGCAGGGCCCCCTGCGTCCTCTGGGTAGGAGGGAGTGAGGGGTGTGTGGGGCTCCCGTTGGCTCTAAGATGGAAGTCTGCATTCAAATGGGAGCTTGCAGCTGAGTCAATTTAAAGACAACTGGAACATCTACATCTCAGACCAGCTGTATTAGTCAGGGCTCTCCAGAGAAACAGAACCAACAGGAGATATATATATATATATATATACCAGGAGATTTATCACAGGAATTGGGAAATGCTGTTGTGGAGGCCAAGAAGTCCCATGATGTGCCATCTGCAAGTTGGAGAACCAGGAAGGCCACTGGTGTATGTCTTAGAGTCTGAAGGCCTGGGGAGGAGAAGTTGGATATCCCAGTTCAAGAAGAGAGAGAGAAAATTCGCCTTTCTTCTGCCTTTTTGTTCTATTTGGGCCGTCAAGGATTGGATGGTGATCATCCATGATGGCGAGGGCAGATCTTCTTCACTTAGTCTACTAACGCTAACCCTTCTGTAAAGACCCTCATGGACACACTCAGAAATAATGTTGTACCAACTATCTGAGCACCCCTTAGCCCAGTCAAGTTGGCACATAAAATTAACCATCACACCAGTGAAGGATTGAAAGTTTGAGGAAATAACGTAAAATGCTTTGGAAAATAAGAGAGCTGGTGGATGTAAGAGGTAAGAAGTCTCCTGCAGCAGAAAGAGCTTGTGAGCCCTTTGGTCCTGGGTTGGGAGGGCCAAAGACAGACCCCGAATGCACAGAAACAATTCTTTCATGAGCTTGACACAGCCTGGCATTCCAACCATTTATTTCTGAAGCGTTGGAAATAAAAAGCACTGTTTTGGGAGGATAGGTGTTAGAGTTGGAAGGATCTGGTATTGAAAGTTGGTTAACTCTAACCTTGAGTAAGTTTCCATCTGTGATCTTGGTTTCTGCTTTGGAAAGTGGGGACACTAACAACCTCATTGTAGGGTTGTTGAGTGGCTTAAAAGAGAATATGTAGGTAAAGCACATAGTTAGTGCTTAATTGTAGCTATTAGTAAAACACAATAATTAGTAGAATAGTAAAAGCTTTATTCTTGCTCTGGCCTGACTCTGTCAAGCACCAGCTGTGGGTCCTTAGGCCAGTGAGCTTCTCTCTTTGGCTCTTGACTTTCCTCATCAGGAAAGTAGATCAGGTTGGTTTACTCTAGACTGTTGAATGGGGCGCCTCAAACTTCCACGTGCAGAGGAATCGCTTGGGGATCTAGTTAAAGGCAGATCCTGATTCATATGTCTGCTCTCAAGCTGGGGAGCTGAGTCTTACTGGGTTAGAGGAGACTGCAAATCCAAAGAGCTCCCAGGTGTTGCTGATGCTGCTGGTCCACGCGCCTCGCTTTCCCCAGCCGGAGTCATCATCTGTAATGTTGAACCTGCTGTGAGTCTAGAAAAAAGCAAACCAAAGTTGAAGCCCTGAGGCTCTGAGAAACTCAGATGGTATTTTTTTCAATGGATGGAGAACATGGCAGAGAGAAGCTGAGGGAGTCTGGAAGGTGGACGATTTAGGCCCAGGGAGACGGGAGTAAGTGACTGATTCCTATCCAAAGGGGAGGTGGTAGGTATGGAGTTGGGGGTGGGGGTAGAACAAATCCAGAGGGTTGTGCATGACAAATTGCATCTAATTCCCTGCTGTGTTTAGTCCCTAATGGGACATAGCAGAACACATATTCTTTAATACTTTTCAAGAGGAGCCACTGTAAAACTTCACTTTTTCTGAATTTAATCCCTTACAAGTTCCTATACTTAATGAAATTACAACAATTCAGCAAACGATATAATTGCCCTAAATACTGCTTTTAATATAATTACGTGTAGCTCACTGGAATGTGCTATTGCATTCTATAAAATAATTATGACGTATAATGTTATGATAAAATTCTTCGTCAAATGCATGCAACTAATGAAGTTTACATATTTCTCTGATGTTGGTGTTTCCATCTGACAATGTCCAGATTCTTAAAAATGATAGGAATGTAAATATATTTTCAGACAGGAGTGGTGGATGGGTCTAAAGTGAGAAGATCCAGGTCAGTGTTTCTTTTTTTAAAATTTTAAATTTATTTTATTATGTTTTTTATTGCAGTAACATTGGTTTATAACCCTATATAAATTTCAGGTGTACATCATTATGTTTCGATTTCTGTATAGATTGCATCATGTTCACCACCCCAGGACTAATTAGCATCCATCACCACACACATGTGCCTAATCACCCCTTTCGTCTTCCTCCCTCCCCCTTTCCCTGCTGGTAACCACCAATCCAATCTCTGTCTTTATGTGTTTGTTTGTTGTTATTTTTGTCTTCTATTTATGAGTGAGATCATATGGTATTTGACTTTCTTCCTCTGACTTAATACCCTCAAGGTCCATCCATGTTGTCACAAATGGCGAGATTTCATCGTCTTTTATGGCTGAGTATTATTCCATTGTGTATATATATATATATATACCACATCTTCCTTATCTATTCATCCTTTGACGGGCACCTAGCTTGCTTCCAAGTCTTGACTATTGTGAATAATGCTGCAATGCATATATCTTTATGCATTCGTGTGTTCATGTTCTTTGGATAAATACCCAGCTGTGGAATAGCTAGATTATATGGTAGTTCTATTCTTAATTTTTTGAGGAATCTCCATACTGTTTTCCATAGTGGCTGCACCAGTTTGCACTCTGACCACCAGTGTGTGAGGGTTCCCTTTTCTCCGCATCCTCTCCAACACTTATTTCCTGTTTTGTTAATTATAGCCATTCTGATGGGCATGAGGTGATATCTCATTGTAGTTTTGATTTGCATTTCCCTGATAATTAGTGATGTTGAACAACTTTTCATGTGCCTATTGGCCATATGTATATCTTCTTTGGAGAAATGTCTATTCAGATCTTTTGCCTGTTTTTAAAATGAGTTGTTAGGTTTTTTGTTGTTGAGATATATGAGTTCTTTGTATATT